CTGTGAGCGCGAAAATGCAGAGCAGGCGGAAGGTATCCAAAATCTTTGCGTCGTTTCTGTTATTTTTGATTTTTGGGTTGGCCCTCAGAGCCCCGGAGAAGGCCCAAGACGCCCCAAAGAGGACCCAAGAGGCTTTCCAAGGGTTCCTGTATTTTATTTTGTGCGTTTCTCGGAAGGCTCTTGGGGGACGTTTGAATCAGTTTGGCTGGGTTGGGCTCCCTGGAGGCCCACGAGACTAACGTAAGTGCCAATCGTGGACAAAATTGTGGATTGGGCCTTTGAGAATCCTACAGTCCGTTCAACAGCTACAGCTGTATGAGCCTCAGGGCACTCCACTACACGCTGCAGGCACGGGGATGGATATCATGGAGGTCTCAACATGCCAGGGTCCCTCCCATGAGGTGGGTTGCGGACCGGCGTCGAAGGTATTAGAAGTCCGCGAGGGGCTTTGGAAGGTTCGGGGCATTTTGGGACGCTGAGAACTCTATGGCGGCGGCGGAAGTCTCCGAAACTAACCACTTCCGAGTCCAAAGTCATGGCCAACATCCACGAATTGGCGTCTCCACATTCTCACCATCGTGGAATAATCATGAGTGGTGTTTGCCTGCTCTGGCTTTCGGCCTCGTGGTGACCGTTTCGTGTCTCGGGACCTCCCTTCCCTACGCTCCTGTCCCAGACTTCCCACGCGACTTCAGCCTGAAGCAGGGCGTGCGGGGTTGCGGCTCCCGGCAGGAGCAGTCAGAGACCAGGAAGCGGATACGCACCTTTGTCGACGAGTGCGACTTCGCCCTGGATGTCTTGACGCTGATCTGCAAGAGTACAGCAAGTGCCACCATACTCGAGGACCTCCTCCTTCCTTCCGAGGAGGCTTCCAGAAGTCCAAGCACAAGACAGCTCGCCGCTTAGGTCCCACCGCCAGCCCAAACGGCGAGCATAATGTGTGCATGGCGCCGTTAGATCTGACGTGGGGGCGGAGCGTCATGGCTTAATCATGCGATCCATGGGTCGAAGACGCCGTTGGTTGCGCCATGGGTGCGCGACACATGGGTTAGACAGGGGAAGAGAAAGAAGGAGAGAGAGAGAGAGAGAAGGAGGGCACTCCCCAGCACGTGACCCCTGCCTCGTGAAACCGTACGTTCTGCTGCGCCCGAACTCTCATTTCCTCCTCCTCCTTCTCATCCTCCTCCTCCGCCCCCACCTCTTCTTCCTCCACCTCCTTCTCCTCCTCCTCCTCCTCCTCCTCCTCCTCCTCCTCCTCCTCCTCCTCCCCTCCTCCTCTCCTTCTCGTCTTGGATTGAGCGCTGTCCGGTCGGCGGCAAAAGCAGCATCCCCGCTCACCCCTGCAGGAGGTCATGCCGGAGCTCGTCCCGCGGCTGATGCAGCTCCTGGCGTCGCCCCTTACCGTCGTCCACGCGCGCCGCTTCCTGCGGCAGCTCGTCCCGCTGGTGGAGCCGCCGCAGCCCGTTGGCTGTGTGACTCCCCCCCTTCTAGACATACGATCTCCTGAGTTGCTCCTTTCGGATGTTTTCATAGTCGTGTCGTTGTCAGACTTTCATGAGTTCCTGGAGTTTTCCGTGCCTCGAGATGCGTTCCAGCAGCTGCGCCTCGCCGAGGGCGTTCCGGGGCTGCCCGGATCGTCCCGAGCGGTCGCCAGAGGCCCGAGGCAGGGCCCGATGACCAGACATCTCGCGTCTCGAGAAGTTCGTGACGGAGGTGTTTCTTCGTTTTCGGCCTCTGCGGGCCATCACCGGGGTTTCGCGGCCGTCACAAAACGACTCGGCACGAAGCACTGGTCCCAGAGAAGTGGTCGGGAGGTCGGGGTGCCGTGTCTCGGACAAATCGAGACGCCAAATGTCTGGGTCTCCCTCTCCCCTCCCCCCTCGAGGATCGTGGGCGAGCAACATGTCCATATCCGCAGCCTCGCGGGCCAAATCTCTGGGTCGCGACCCCGCGAATACGGGGCGTTATTTCGGGATCGCGCCACGGAATCCAGACAACGAGGGCGAGGATAAGGATATGTTCGCCGCTCGTGATGTCTGACTCTCCCTCTCCCCTGTCACCCATAAGAAAGGAGGCGGAAAGGAGGAGCAGGAAGCCCTGGCATGCTCGCGTCCCGACGGACTGTCTTGGGTTGTTTTCGGTATGGTGCGGCCCTTACTGGGCCCCGAGGCCATCAAAAAATAGCGTGGGATCAAAACACTGTGCCTGGGAATAGGTCCAGTCCTTTGGGGAGCCACGCTGCGAACAAAACACGACGTCGGGGGTCCGGGGAGGCTGGGAGGAGGACAGGGAGGGGCGGTACCGGGAGCTGCGGCAGCAGCAGCAGCGGCGGCCGAAGCAGGCGCTCGTCTTCCCCGCTTGCGTTCCTCGGCTGCACGTAGTACAGTGGGGGCCAATGCCAAGAAACACCATGCTTGCCTCCAGGGTGCCCTGGGTCTCTTGGGGTTCGATGGTTTTGCCATGGGAAGCGTGACGCTCCCACACCGAAAACCAAGGGACGTCCTGGGGTCTCAGGGTTGGGTTTCTGAGGGAAGGTTTCCTGTGGACTGGCCTCCACTGTGGCAGGAGTGGCCCTTCGCCAGAGTGACCCTCTGGTTCACCGCAGGCCACTGCTGCCAAGGGTCGGGGGCTCAAAGAGGGGCTCCTGAGGAATGGGGTCCCAAGGACGAGGTGCCTCAGACAACGTAAAACCGCCCTGCTCAAACCGGTCGGCGCGCGGATCGTTCTGGGCGTCGGTTCCAGCCTCTGCACTGGCGGTTTCAGCTTCGGTTCTGCCGCCAACTGCGGTTTCGCCTGCGGGTTCGGCCCGGGGCGTGGAGGGCGCCGTGCGGCCAATGAGGCATACTAAGTGGGAAGAGCGATTGCGGCAGTGTCTGCGCGCAGAGAGCGGCGTGATTCGCGAAGTAATTGGGATCCCTTCTTATCCTCAGGACCCCATCCCTCAGGACCCCATCTCTGGACCACCGAAAGGGTCGCTCTCGCGTGCAGCCGATCTCCTCCAGGCGGCCCGCCGCGTTCTCCGCTCCGCCCGCCCCTCGCGGCGCCGAGAGAGAGAGCGGGTGCGGAGGGGGCTCGGGAGGGCGGCGCCCTGTCGTGGGCTCCTGGCGGAACTCCGCTCCTCCTCCGCCAGGGCGACAGCATGTCCCCCTTTGCTTGGGCGCTGCCCCCACCGGCATTATGACTTGCGAGGCTGGCTCCTCGGGGCTGTCCTGGCCCAACGCCCAAGGCCGCAGCCCCCGCCTCCCCCCCCTCTCTCCTGGCCCCTCCCCTCCGCCCTCCGCCCTTTTCCCCCCCCCCTCCTCTCCGACCTCAGTTTCCCCGCGTGCCTTCCGTCCCCCTTTTTCGTCCTCTTCCCCCATCCCTCTCGATCCCCACGCCTTCATCCTCCCCTCTCCTCTCCTCCCTTCCATGGCCTCTCACCTTGATCCATCGCCCTGCTCCCACCCACCCCTCCCTTCCACTACTCCCCTTCCCTGGGGCCCCTCTCCGCCCCACCCCCTCCGAGGTGGTGTCGACGAAGGTCCTGCCTCGCCGGGATCTGCTTCCCGACGCACTGATGGTCACGGGGAAGGGGTGGTTTGACAAGTCGCCGGAGGAGGCGGGAACGCGCGGAGAGGATCCCTCGGGATTCTGCAACGCGATGCTCCCCACCCCGTCGTCGACGTGGCCGGCCCCGCCGTCGCTGTCGTCATTGCCGCCGTCGTCCTCCTCGTCTTCGACTGTCGTCTTCGACCGTCGTCTTGTATTCATGATCCTCCTTTCCTCCTTCTGCTACCCTTCTGTGACGTCCGTCTCTTCTCCTGCCAAAATCTGCCTCCCCCATCCACATTCCCCCCAATGCTGCTTATGGAGGTTCGAGAGTTATGGTTGCTGCGCTCCCAGCGTCGAACGAGTTTTCATTTTACCCAGCGGTTTTCATCGTCGTCGGTAGTCGTGGTCGCCGTCGGCGGCGGTGGCGGCGGCGTCGGCGTCGTTGGCGTCGTAGTCGTCGTCGTCGTCGTCGTCGTCGTCGTCGTCGTCGTCGTCGTCGTCGTCGTCGTCGTCGTCGTCGTCGTCGTCGTCGTCGTCGTCGTCGTCGTCGTCGTCAGCGTCAGCGTCAGCGTCAGCGTCAGCGTCAGCGTCGTCGTCGTCGTTGCGTTGCGCCTCCCCTGCGGCGTTGCGGTATCCCCCCCCGCGTGTTTGGTTGTCATTCGGCCTCGCCCTGCGCTCCCCGTCGACGTCGCGTCGTCGCCACGGCGCTGCGCTGCACTTCCCTTTCCCCCCCCCCCCCCTCCCCCCCCCCCTCCCCCCATCCCCGCCCCCCTGTCGAACTTTTACTCCTCGCTTCTTGTCCTCGTCGTCGCCGTCGTCGGCGGCACGGCGTCACGGTGCCCGCCCATGCCGATGATGTGTTCCTCGCTCCTCGTCGTCGTCCTCACTGCGTTGCGTCACAGCCCCCCCATCCCCCTCTGGGCAAACCGTTTTTCTCCAGCAGGCGATCACGAGCCGCCCAAAGGTATGTCAGTCATCGCCCGAAAAAGGATTTCATGTTTCTTGAACTTGCCCCCCTCCTGTCCCTTCTCTCCTCCTCCTCCTCCTCCTCCTCCTCCTCCTCCTCCTCCTCTTCCAATGTGCTCGTTCGCGCACTGCGCGTCGTCGCCAGCAGTGTCTTATCTAATCCTCTTCCTCCTCCTCCTCCTCCTCCTCCTCTCCTCCTCTTCCTCCTCCTCCTCCTCCTCCTCCTCCTCCTCCCCCTCCACCTCCTCATCCTCCTCCGTCTCCTCCTCCTCCTCCTCCTCCTCATTCCCCTCCTCCTCCTCCTCCTCCTCCTCCTCCTCCTCCTCCTCCTCCTCCTCCTACTCCTCTCCCCCTTCATCCTCCTTCTCCTCCTCCTCCTCCGTCTCCTCCCGCTCACAGTTGTTCACCCTACAACCCGCGCTCCAGGCGCTCCTCACCCGCTACCGCCCCCACAGGAGCCCGCCGTGGAGGCGGTGCTCAGGAGCGCGGACCTGAAGACGGCGATGAGCAGCGCCACTTTGGCGCTGGTGCTGCCGATGATCCTCAGGGCCCTGGGGACCAGCAGGTCGAGGGGCCGACAACGCGGGAAGCAGGAAGGACGCAGGAGGCCTTGCGGGGGTTGCCCCGCGCCCGTGCCTAGAGATGCGTCGGGCTCGCAACCCTTCTGGAAACGCTAATCGTGCCAGCGCTTGCGCGGGCGCCCAGCCAGTCCTAAACCGTCAGGGATCCAGTTTGCCAAATCTTCGTCCATCGCCTGCCTCCGCTCTGATCGACTCTGGCCCACAGTCCGTCTTTCCAGCCCCGCTGCTCTTGGGCCCAACCAGGGCAGGCAGAGCGCAATCATCTGAAGCACGTCACACTCGTCAGCAGGCATGCAGACGAAGCGAACTGTGATCTGCGCCATGCTCCACGGGCGCACGCCTCTACAGGTGCATCGCTCCCGCTGGCGGGCACAGGACCCACGGCCGCCGGGCAGCGTCGGAAAGAGGCCACTTCGAGACGGCGACGGTGGCGGTGGTGCCTCGCCTGGAGCTCGTCAATGGCGCAGAGTGCCATCCCCAAGCCGCGCTCCACGAGGTCCGAGCGGCGGCAGCGGCAGTTTTGATCGTGCGCTGCGTCTACAGTTGAGGCGCTGAAGTACAGATCACTTTTGGCCCAGGAGGGGCTCTGGATTTTGGGCCGTTTACCACATCCGCGTCGGGGAGTCTACTCGTGGCCGTGGCTAGCCGTCGCCGGGAAGCGCCACTCCGTTACTTATTCGGCGTTCTGTACGGTAGCACGATGACTGTATCATCTTGGCCGTCCCGCTGCGTGACACCGCCTGCACCACGAGGAGTACTTCAGCATTGCAGTGGGGGCGCGCATCAAGACACGATGTGCTTTCCATCCACCAGGGTGCCTTGGACTTTTGTTCAGCTGCGCGGTGGCCTCCCGCAGACGCTGAGAAGCTGCTGCGCTCGGGGTGCCCAGGGGCCCTCCTTTCAGCTGCATTCCCCGCCCGGATTTGCGGGATGGGGGCTTGGATCTGGACCCCCTGGCGGTGCCTCTTGTTCACCAGCCTCGAACTTATCCCTACCCCTGAGATTGACACGCCAAAAGGCGATGACAATCTTAGGAATGCACCCTCAGAAACTGAGGGAATCCCTAAGATCGCCATCGTGATGAGGCGATGCCCAGCATAGGAATAGGGATATGTTCTGGGCTGGTAGTCTCGTGGCGCCTCCGGCTCCGCCCCGGGCACGCTCGGCGCCGCCCTACGAAAGTTGCGCGGGGGCCTCCGAGAGTCTGAGTGCCGTGTGCAGGCCTCGGGCCCTTCCGCTGCAGCACGTCCCGAGGGCGAGGGCTCCCTCTCTTGGCGTTCTCCCCCGCTTCCGGGCTTTCCCTGGCCCCTCACGGGGAAGGGTCCTTGGCGAGGAGCCAGTCCGTGGCTGTTTCACATCGTGGCCCCCCAGAAGGTGTAGCCTCTTCCCGAGGACCAGTGTTTCATCCCGAGCCGTGCCTTGATCAGGGGCAACGATAGGGAGGGATGGCATAGGGGGGGGCGCATCGACCACCAGTCGCCAATTGATCGCCGAGAGGTGCCCGAGAGCTCCAGCCTGCCCAGAAACGTGCGGATTCACGATCGGAGGCCCATCGCCGAATTGTCGGCGATATATCGCCGATTCCATGTCGGTGTGCCCCCCCCGAGGAGGAGAAGGGGAGGAGGAGGAGGAGGAGGAGGAGGAGGAGGAGGAGGAGGAGGAGGAGGAGGAGGAGGAGGACGAGAGGAGGAGGAGGAGGAGGCGGAGGAGGAGGAGGAGGGAGGAGGAGGAGGGAGGAGCCTCACTTGACGGTCCCAGGGCCCAGCGAGGGCCCCTGGAGGTCGTCGAGAACTGTCGCAGACCTCCCGTCATAACTTGTGTTTGCTTGCCGCGGCGCGAGGGCGGCCGGGAGGGCCACGCGCAGGGGCCTTCGAGGGCCCCTCCCTCGCAGCCCCCCCCCTCGGGAGGGTGCCTGCTCCCCTCCTCCCCGCGGGCGCGGCAGCAGGAGGACGCCAGCGAAGGGGGCGGGCGGGCGCTGGCCAAGCCGTCCAAGAGGGTGGGGTGGGGAAGCCCTCCTCCTCGTCCCTCCTCCTCCTCCTCCTCCGCCTCCTCCGCCTCCTCCTCTTCCTCTTCGTCCTCTCCGAGGGCGTTGCCCCCCCACGCCTCCCCCCACCCCCACCCCCGCCCACCCCCGCCCACATGCGCTCAGCGCCGTCGAGGCGGGGATCTGCAGGGTAGCGGGTGCCTGGGCCAGTGCGCAGGAGGTGGCCTGGGGGAGCGGCAGGAGCTCGCGTGTGTGCTTTTAACCCGCGTGGGGCGGGCGCAGGAGAGGGGCGGGAGAGCGCCGCCTCCCTGCATCGTGCTGGGTATGGGTCCGTCAGGACCGGCACAAGCAGGCGTCGATCCCCATGAAGAGGTGGGGCGGAAAGGTGTAGATCCAGGGCGTGCGCGAAGAAATGGGAGTCCTGGAGGGCGCGCGTGCCTAGTTGTTTGAGTGTCCCTGGGCCTCCGTCAGTCTGAGGAGGAGGAGGAGGAGGAGGGGGAGGAGGAGGAGGAGGAGGAGGAGGAGGAGGAGGAGGAGGAGGAGGAGGAGGAGGAGGAGGGGGAGGAAGGAGGAGGAGGAGGAGGAGGAGCCGAGCGCCCCGCGCCCTGCATGGTGGCGCTGGCATCCGTCCTCCGGCGTGGCCCTGCCCGCGGCCGTCGGGCAGTCGGCTGCGGCGTCTCCGCCGGGGCCTGGCCGGGGACCGTGGCCTGCCGGGGCGGCGGGGTCCCCGTGCCGCGTTGGTGGGATATGTTTGTGTAAGTGCACTAATGGAGGATGAGGATTAATAAATGACCGGGGGTCGTGTTCACGCGGCGGCGCCTGGGATGACGATTAGAAAAAAACAGCCGCGGGCTGGAACACTATTCTTTTTAATCGTTCTCTCCCAGTCAGAAAATTATGCAGAAATAGCAGGAAACTATTTTTTAATCGTTCCCCTCCATTTTTTTATTTATCGTCATCCCGCATTACAGTGCTGTTTTTAATACATGCTCCGCGTGCGGGTCATGTATTCAAAATGCAGGGGTTTAGCACTAAAAACAGCGATGACTTCATGCGTAAATCCATGCATGAGTTTATCATGAATTAAGAACTGCCTTGTAGATGGGCTTACATCACAGGAGCAAAGAGCGCGTTTCGCGGTGAGCTCGAGCAAGGTAGCTTGCGTGGGGTTCGCCACCCCGCTCCTCCGCCTCATGAGACGATGCAGGGCCGAAGCGGCGTGCAGGTGAGTTTCGACCTGCATGATGTCCAAAGTTCCGCCAGTGCCTCGCCAGGCCCCCCATCCCCCTCCCCTCATGGCAGAATCAAGTTGCCAGGGCCGAAAGAAAATCCGCATCAAGCGATCATGGCCGTGTTGCGTTCCAAGGTTTCCAGGATGTCCTGGATCTCCTGGAGTCCCTACTGCTCCACACGGGCTGCAGAAACGAGGGGCGCTGACTACTGTGGAAGTCTTGGATCGCATCCGGAGCCAATCTTATCATGAAACCACCCTCGTCCTAATGGAGGATGACGATTAATAAATGACCGGGGGTCGTGTTCACGCGGCGGCGCCCGGGATGACGATTAGAAAAAACCGGCCGCGGGCTGGAGATCTATGTTTTAAATCGTTCTCCTCCAGTCAGAGCGTTGTGCAGAAATAGCAGAAAACTATTTTTTGAATCGTTCCCTCCCCTTTTTTTATCAATCGTCATCCCGCATTATGTTACATGGGGCGGGCGACGGGGGGCGGGCAGGAGAGGGGCGTGTGCGAGCGCAAACTGCTGTACGGTCGGACCGAGGTGTAAGGCCGAGGTCGGTTCTGGGGGGGTGTCCTGATGTTCTGTGTGTTTGATCGTCGGGGGGGACGGAACCCCCCCAACAGTGCCACGTCGATTAGTGATTTGTCCGTTTTCGGTTCTCGAGAGGGCGCCGTGGCCGTTATTTTCCAGGCTTGCGCCCGCCAGGTTTGGGCCTCAGGTCGCTTTCACTAAACCACGTTTGACTAAAGAGGGGTCTGTCCATCCCCGAGTGTGTTTGATGGGTGTTCTTGTGTGTCCTTGGGGAGGGCACCCTCGAATGCTCTTCAGTTTGGCCCGCGGGGGGCTTCATGTCCCTGAAGGATGTTCTGCTGTCCGAGGCCCGACCGTATGCTGCCGCGCGTCCGGCTCCAAGGCCAGGCGTGCTCCTGGATCCACGGCCGCCTCTGGCGCAGGGAGGCGCCGGGATAGCCGGCCGCACGCAGCTGACTCCATCCCCCCCCCCCATCCTTGCTAACCCCCGCATTCGCCCCCCCCCCCCCCCCCCGAGAGAGGAGGTGTGAAGGAGGGCTTGGGCTGGCTTGCGAGTGCCCCGGGGGGGGGGGCAAGGATCCCCTTTCCATGTTTCTGTAGTGATCGCGAGCGTCTTGAACGGGCTTTGTCATGGGTTTGAGGGCTGGGGGGGGGGGCCTGTCGGGGAAGTGTTGCAGCTTGCTTTTGGAGGAGCAGCACGGGCGAACGTTCCGGGGCCCCCCAGTCGCTCCCAACGCGCCCAATGCAATCCAATCCAATGCATTTCCTGGATGTCCTCCTTCTCCTCCTCCTCCTCCTCCTCCTCCTCCTCCTCCTCCTCCTCCTCCTCCTCCTCCCCCTCCTCCGCCTCCCCCTCCCCCCCCTCCCCCTCCTCCTCCTCCTCCTCCTCCTCCTTCCTCCTCCTCCTCCTCCTCCTCCATGGATTCCTTGGGGGAGCCCTGGCCTCTTGGCGTTCAGACAACCTCGCGACGGGCGGCCATATTATCGAGTTTCGCCCCGTGCGGGCCTTCCTGCCGTTGAGGCCCTCGCACCAGCCCGGGAGCCCAGACTGCCTTGCGTTTTGAACAAATCACGACGGGAGGTTTTCCGAGATTCTCGGCATCCGCGGGTCCTTCCCGGGCCTCGGGACCGTCAAAAGCGACTCAGGATGAGAAACAGGTCCCAGGGAGGGGTCCAGACCTTTGGGGGTCGACGTGTGTGAGAAAAAATGACGGGGGTCTGGGAACTCAATGTAGGGAGGGGGGAGAGGAGGAGGGAGGAGGCGGAGGAGGAGGAGAGGAGGAAGGAGGAGGAGGAGGAGGAGGAGGAGGAGGAGGAGGAGGAGGAGGAGGAGGAGGAGGAGGAGGAGGAGGAGAGGAGGAGAGGAGGAGGGAGGAGGAGGGGAGGAGGAGGAGAGAGGAGAGAGGAGGAGGAGGAGGGAGGAGGAGGAGGAGGAGGAGGGAGGAGGGAGGAGGAGGAGTAAAGACCAGGGCAGGAGATCTGCAGCTTCGACGGCACGCCGTTTCTAGGAGAGGTCTGGGCCCAATGGCATTCCCCCGCACACACACACACACACACCCACACACCCACACACCCACACACCCACACACCCACACACCCACACACCCACACACACGCACACACGCACACACGCACACCCACACCCACGCACGCACGCACGCACGCACGCACGCACGCACGCACCCACACACACACACACACACACACACACACACACACACACGCACACACACACACACACCTTTCAGGAGGAAAAATAACACACAGACGCAATGAATCGTCGATTCCCCTGAAAATATAAGAAACTATGGGCAGTGGGGGGGAAGACAGAAACCCAGAACATATGAGAAAATAATGGGAATCCGGTTATTTGTGTGTATTTATTTGCGTGTCCCGGGGCCCCTTCACTCACACACACACACACACACACACACGCACGCACGCACACACGCACACACACACACATTGGGGCCAGATGTTCGGCCTTCACGGGGAGAGAGGAGTCTGTCGTGAGCGCCCCTTGTCCGACCCCAAGCTCTGCCGGCACCCCTGACAGGTTGGCCATCCAGGACGTCTGCTGCAGCGCCCTGGTCGCGCCGGGCTCAGCCGCCCCCCCGGTCTGCGGCTGCGGGCCACTGGGCAGCGTTGCGGCTCCAGGCAAGCGCCCTTGCACTGCTTCGGGGGGGGGGAGGGCGCGCTGTTTACACGGCCCCTCCGCCTTGAAGCAAGAGCTCCCGATGTTCTCCCACGTTTGCACAGAGGCTGGGTATGCGGACTGGGCCACAGTGCTCCTGTTTCTCGGGAACGGCCCGGGGGGACTTGGAAAGGAGTTCCGCGGCCATCCTTGCGCACACGCGCTGCGCACAGATGAGCGTACATGTTTGCACTGTCGCGTCAAGCACTCGCTCAAAACAGCCCACTGGTAGCGCTAGTCCCACCCCCCAGGTGATCGTTTTCTGATACATTGTTGACCCCATTGGCGCGGGCCCTCGCACCCCCCCCTCCTCCCCCCACATGGAGTAGATCTTGGCCGTTTTGGGCGCCTCTTTCGAGCAGGCGGAGTCTCCCACAGGACGCACGGTCCCAAACAGACGCCATTCAGCAGGGGCCCGGGGCCAGCCCCCCCCCTCCCCCCCCCCCTCCGCCCACTGTCGAGACGCCGACCAAGAGAACGATCACCAGGCACCACGCAGCCGCGCCCCGCCGTGGCGACGCGGGCCGTTCTCCCCGGCGGCCACGCGAGGTCCGCGCGCACGCCCTTGGGGGGGGGGGGGGCAGGGCGAGGGCGTGCAGAGCGGGTGCCTGGCAGCCGGCCGCGCGGAGCGCCCCCCTTTGCTCTTGGAGCCCCCCCGGGCGCGGGCCCCTCGGCAGGCTGGATGCTCCCTGGCTGCGCAGGGCAGCAGCAGGAGTGGTTGGCGGATTTCTTGGGGGGGGTGGGGAGGGTCCTCTGCCAGGGGAACACAAGGTGGCATAAACATGAAAACTCTGAGATCCGCGCGGATTTCTCGGATCGGCGCTGGACCCCCCTCCCTGGCGCGCGGAGCGCGCCAGGGGCGGCGCCGGAGGCGCCGCCGGGGGGCCCCAGCGCCGATCCGAGAAATTCGCGCGGACCTCCGAGTTTTTATGTTTATGTCACTTTTGTTCCCCTATCTGCAGAGAGCAAAGAAAATGCAGGAGTCGGGAGAACTGTTGGGGGAAGTTCGGGAGGACTCCACCAGAGAAAAAGAAGGAGAGCAGGAGCTGGGAAAGATGTGGGAGCGGGGGAGGATTCGGAAGCCCACATTACCTCGGAAGCCGCTTCTGGGGTGGTGTGGTGACCCTCCTCGCCCGAATCCACCGGAGACCGTGAGAGCCGCCAAGGAGAGCAGGAGCTGGGAAAGATGTGGGAGCGGGGGGGGATTCGGAAGCCCACATTACCTCGGAAGCCGCTTCTGGGGTGGTGTGGTGACCCTCCTCGCCCGAATCCACCGGAGGCCGTGAGAGCCGCCAAGGAAGAGAGCTGCAGTGGACATGGGGGGGGGTCAGTGCAAGCCCTGTCGACGCCTGGGCCCCAGCTGGCTGCGGAGAGCGGGGGCGGGACGGAGGGAGGGACGAGGCAGGAGTAGGGGAACGAACAATGACATAAACATAATGACTCGGGGGTCCGCGCGGATTTCTCGGATCGGCCCCGGGGCCCCCTGGCGGCGCCTCTGGCGCCGCCCCTGGCGCGGGGTCCAGCGCGGATCCGAGAAATCCGCGCGGACCTCCGAGTGTCTATCGGGCGAAGAGAATTATGCACATGCACCGATCCTGGCAAGGCCCATCCTTGGCCCCAGGATCGGTGCATATGCCTTCCTGGCCAAGGCAGGAGGGCGGTTGCACCGATCCTGGGCTCAGGATGGGCCTGGCCAGAATCGGTGTATGTGCATCGTTATTTTTCCTCTATGTTTATGTTTATGTCATTTCTCGTTCCCCATAAGGAGGAAGAGAGGCATGAGGGGGAACCGACGGAAAATGGCAGGAGGGCCGGAGCCAGGAGGGGGCGAGGAAGCGGCGGCGAGGGAGGAGGAGGAGGAGGAGGAGGAGGAGGAGGAGGAGGAGGAGGAGGAGGAGGAGGAGGAGGGCGGAGTTCTTCAGGGACGAGCCTTGCACTTAGGGCCGTGTTGTGCCAGTCCCGGGGCCCGGGCAGGGCCCGCAGAGGCAGAGCACGGCGCAACACCTCCCGCCGTGACTCTGCGGCGCGAGCACGTCCAGTTCGGGTCCTAGTTCGGGTCTCCAGCGGCCGCTCGGAACAGTCGAGGCACCCCTGGAACGCCCTCGGCGAGGCGCAGCTGCTGGAGGGCATCCCGACGCTGGATAACCGCTGGGAGCCAGCGAAAAAAATGCCGCAAAGCTCCCGTCGTGCTTTTTGTCCACGGCGCGAGCATGTCTGGGGATGCGGAAGGATCGAGTAATTAGGAGAGCGACTCGGCGAAAGAGTCAATTTGGAGTTAAATCAATTCTGTAGTCGATCTCCTGCTCGGAGGGAGGGCGCAGGGCGCGGAGGACGCCTTCGCGGGTCTACGCCAAGGTGCTCGAGCACCAGTTGTCGCTCGGCGCGGAGTTCCCGGAGTCTATGGTGGTCAGGGGAAACATCAGGGGGGGGTGGGCGGGGTATCCTCGGTGGGAGGGAGGTTCGAGGCGGGTTCGAAGTTTCAGTTTTCGGGTGGTTCCGTCGGTCCTTGGCGGTTTTCCAGCCTCGGGATGCTTTCCAGCAGCTGCGCCTCGCCGAGAGGTGTCGGGGGGGTGCCTGGGTCGTCCCGAACGGCTGCCGGAGAGCCAAGCTGTGAACCCGAGAACCAGGGGGCAACGTTTGGGAGGATAGGCTCGGGGGGGGACGCGTCGACCCCCCACTTGCCCTGCGCGCCCACCCCGCCCCGGAGCGTGCGGAGTCCATGCCGAGGGCGTGACGCCGATCCATCGGCGCTACGTTGCCGATGGAAGGTCGATGGGTTCCCCCCCTGCGCCAGTCCCCCCAGCCATCCCCTGACCTTCCAGAGAGCTATTTTTTAGCACGGGAGGCCCGAAAACCTAAAAGCGAAACGAAACAGCCTAAAACCAAGACATAGAATAGCTCTGGGACAGGTTCTTGAGTCGCGTACTATTTTTTAGCCCTCCTGGAAGGTCAGGGTCGTTGACCCCTCAGGTGGGGGAGCTGTTCGAGTCCCTCGGCATGGCCCTGCTCGCGCTCCCGGGCCAGCGCGACCAGACGCAGGGCGCGCTGTGCGCGGTCAGCAGGCACGTGGTGTCCACCGAGGACCTGGCCCGCTCTCGCGCCCGTGCCCAAGACGTGAGATCGCCCCGTGACGAGTCACGAGGGGAGGTCATTGGCCGCTTTCGATCCCCCCGGGGCCCCAGGACCGTCACAAAACGGCTCGGGAAGAAAAGCGCGCACGTGGGACAGGGTCGGGATTTCCCTGGGGGCCTCGAAGAGAAAAATCAAGACATCGGATGTCCCAGTTTCATTTTCCCTGCCTGTTCCTTTCCGCGTCCTTCCTCCTCCGCTTCCCCTCCAGGGTCACCTCCTCGGCGCCCGGTGGGCATCCGGCCTCAAAACCAGCGGCGGCGCAAGCGTGTTCGTCGAGTTCTGAGCCGCCCTCACCCCTGGCTGCCGCAGTTGCGTACCGCGGACCTAATTACGAATATTTCCACGTCCGCTGTCCCCTCCCGGCGTCGCAGGTGCCCTCCGTAGCAAAACTAAAGGCCTTCTCGCATGTCTGCCCCTCTGAAGATTGTTTTGTTGAGCGCGATGGCGAGAGCCTGGTTCTGCTTTATTGATGCCATGCGGGCAATGCCTTTACCAATACCGGTTCTACAGTTACCGCACGATTGCAAAAACTTGATTCCCATAGCAGATGCTATGTGCACGATAATACTTTGTATTCGCATGAGTCCTGTTACGACCCTGCAAACACGGTGTTGCTTTAATACGGCTTCGCTGTATCCATTACTACCATTGCATGTCGGTTGTGCTCGCACTATTTGATTCCGTCGCAGCATTTCCGCTGCCATTACTAGTACGAGTACTACGACTATTACGACGACTATTACTACCACTATTTCGGCGACTACTACTACGACTACGACTACTACTACTACTACTACTACTGCTACTACTACTAGTAGTTTTACGAGTACTACTATTTCTACT